TATTTAATTAATTTTTGCTGGTCGTCACATATCATTTATTTGCAAAAATAATAGGAGCTACTTAAGGATTGCCTAATTAAAGAATGCTTGCCATCGAGGGGCTCTCTCTGTCTATGGGCGAGGATTAAAGAACTGCTTAAAAATACCGGTAGTAAATTATTACAGTATTATTTTATAATATGAAATTGGATATAAAGTAGCGAAATCATAAAAAAAATCTATAAATAGTTACATGAAATTCGACTGCTAAAAAGATTAAATGAAATTAAACTATACAGGAGGCCGCTAACTGTATTATACAATATTATACACAGGAACGCACATCACGTTAGATCGACACAGAACGCGCATCGCGTATGACACAAAATGGCTTCTAAATTCTCAATGTCGCAACTCTTTCTATCTCATAGAGGTACAATAAGAATAATAATAATAGCTCTATGTTCTATCTATGGCTCTGCCTTGACCGATAACAGAGCGCCCTCTAATATCCACCGGCTTCAAGTTCAAGAGCGGTTAATAAATATTATTATTATCACTATTGTATCCTTTTATCCTTGTATAATTTTCCTTTTTTCTTTATTTTTTTTAATTTTGTAATAGTGAGGGTGTGAGCAAGCAAACAAGCAACATCCCTAAAATGATCAATATCCGATTTACAGTTTTTTTTAAAAAATGATTATTATATACAGACACATTCATTAAAGAATGCTTGCCATTACCTGTATGATTACAATTATTAATAAATTATCAATATTTTCAAAGTTACCATGGTGGGGCGTAAGTGGTCAATCTGTAAAATTTCCTCCCTGGACCTTTCTTTTTATTCCTTTGCCAAGGCTAGTTTTCAACTAATAACATTAATACCAATAACCAGTTAGCTGCACTGAGCAGTAAATCTAGTAAATAATGTAGTATTTAAGCCAGTCTTGGACTAGAAAGGGAGGGAGTGGGGAGGGGGGGCAAGCCTAGCCTAGGCGTGGTTACGATGAAACTCTGTAATAAAATCGAGTCCAGGCTATGCTTAGGTTAGAGGCCTATGTCTATAGGGCTCTATGTACTAATAGGCCTTAAGCCTAAAATAGGAGGCTAGTAGTAGAAATAGTGAATTCAAATAGGTCTACACTGAGGTAATACAGAACACCAGGGAGGTACTATTAGGGGGACCCACTATGACACTCAAAGTAGGGAGCCTCTTGGCAATTCTAAATACCTAGGCCCTTCACTCCTAAGCCAGAGGCCCAGCTTTTCCCACACATGATCGAGCCGAAAGTTGTTCATCTAGGCCTAACCTAGGTTATGCCGAGGGCCTTGGTCTAGGCCTAGGTTGACTGAACTTTAATGTTTTTTAAAGCATTAGAGTTAATATAAGTCTAAAATTTTAGAGGAAGACATGATATACATACCTGTATACGTACTATTTTGAATCAAAAATACGTGTAAATGCGTGTGTTTACAGTCATAATTCGGATGAATTCCAAAATGGCGTATTTAGAAATTGGTTTGGCTGGTTCCCGGCGTTTGAGGCTGTTCCAGTATAGTAATTAAACTGTGTAATCTGGTTGTATATATAATATACAGGACGGCATAAGCCAGATTAGGATTATATAACCCTCGCATATTGCATTTTATAAGGACAGTCACCAGTCCTACATATATGAATATGATGACAATAGAATAATGGGGTGATTTGTCAGCTGATTATACTCTAATCTGTTCCGTGTAGCATCATACGTTGTATGGTACCGTATACATTCAGTATACCTTTTGTTAAATGCAATATGCGGTCCGTTTGATTAAGTGATTTTCCGATTGAGCGTCCACCCAAATTAACAGTTAACATTGTATAATTCTTATCTTAAACTTGGCGGAGGTCATCAGTATTTACATGACGACTATCAGTGGTGAAGCGATACAGCGGTTAAAATTAGCAATACCCACTAGAGGTGACTGTTCAAAACACAGACCTTGCACATTATGATATATTGAGAAAAAATAATAAATATATTATTATGAATAATGTCAGTTAATTCTGACGAAACGTGAAAACGTTACCAAGTTTATTTCCTTGCTAGCCTATCTAGCCTAGGCCCTGGCCTATGCTAGCTCGATTACAAAATAAATAATAAAATCGTTCGCAAATAATAGGCCTCCATAGGCTACGACCCTACCCTACCTAGCAACGCAAGACCTAGGGCCTAGGCCTAGCCGGAAAAAGTACACCGATCCCGCGCCAGGCAGTATCATGAGCATGTGGTGAAAACAAGGGTGAATTTTCTAACTTCTTAAATTTCGGGATTTCTTCGTTGCTGGCCTTGAAGCAAAAAAATCGGTTATCCTTTCTCGGCGCTTCATCCTCCTAGGAGGCTTCATCCTCCTCCTAGGCTATTTTTGGCGTGTCGCATGTCCTCGATCCCAGAGAAATGAAAAATGTCGAGCGCCCAAACTTTTGTGATGACGTCGTGCCAAAGTAAATAAACTACGGAGTACGCTATTGGTCAAATAGTTTAGGCAACAAACCTCTCATTAATATTCATTTTGAAGTCTTGCTGGTTACGTCATTCAGCTGGCTGCAGGTTGTTTTGATTTCTACGATCGGACTACGAACGATAGCGACAAATAAACAGTGCCAAAATGCTCCTATTTTGTAATAAATTTCACTATTTTGGAAACGGGGGATCGTTTTCTGGTTAAGGGGGTTCGCTGGCAAAAGGGGGGTTCGCTGAAAAAGGGGGGTTCGCCCGAACCCCAAAAAACCCCCCTGGCTACGGGCCTGTGAAGCGATACAGCGGTGGCCAGCCAACTCGGCTCCCCCTTTCAATAAAAATTACATTCATGAGTGATTAATATTATGAATTGATTCCTTAACATGTAAAATCTCTATAATTAATTTCATTATTATATGTAAAATCTCTATAATTTCATTATTATACTTAATTAAGCAATAATATTTTCATATATTTTTAAATTGATTTAATGGATCTGAACAAGGACGTCATAATGCACAAGGGAAAATTAACAGATATATTCTGAGCATAATTGATGTTTTTAGCCGATTCGTTTGGTTAGGACCATTAAAACGAAAATCCAGCGCTCCAATAGCCAAATTAATCGATGCTATATACAAAGAGCACGGCCCTCCTGACCGTTTACAGAGTGATAGGGGGAAAGAATTCGAGGGAAAGGTAAAACGAGTATGTAAGCAGATGAAAATAAAACTAATCAAATCTCGCCTTTACCACCCTCAGTCGCAGGGAAAGGTAGAAAGGGTTCACCGTCGACTCCGGAAGAAAATTGTATATGATCTCATGGTTTTATGAAAGCAAGGCATAAACTGGGTTGCTCATTTACCTGATTTCAACAGAATTTTAAACGAAGAGTGTAAAGAAGAGTTGGATTGGAAAACACCCTTCGAAATATTATTACGGACGAAAAGCAAATATCTTGACAAAAGTATCTATAGGTATCGGGTCAGAACATGAATTCGTTCCTATTAAACATCCTAGACCAAAGGACATTAACCGCAATGCAAAACATGTCAAAAGAGTTCGAAACAGAGCCAAACAATCCACCGAAAGAATGAATAAACCAATAGCACCAATGAAGACGTAATAATTAAATTCCACAATACAAACAAGAAAGGAGCAATCAAATAAAAAAAAATTATATTTTAAAAGGAAGAGTCATTGAAAAGTGAAAAAAACCCCCCAAAAAACATGGACTGTTCCAATACAAAGTTAAATTTCATAACCCCGATACATATCAAGAAACTGAAGAGTGGATATCTGTAGAAAATTAAAAAACTAAAGAAAAACATGACATTCACAATATTAAGCGAAGCAAGAGAAAAGCTGTATATACCGATTAGAGGTGAAGACAATTTTAATGACAGAGACTTTTCAGAGGAGGGTTTGTCGCTCCGTTACAATCCAACTGGTAATGGAAATCGCCAATTTGATGCCGTAAGGTTTGCCCTTGTAGATTTTGGGATTCACCAGACGGCCGAACAACTGTGGTGTGAAGTAGTACACTATCTTCAGCAAAACCCCGACAACATCGACGATATACCCCTGAAACTGTTTGTTGGGATGCCGTGGTCGAATTATACACATGGAATGGCAAACGATGGAACCTATGTTGACCATATTACATTGCAGACACTGGCAACTATTTATAGTGTAACTATAGTAGTTTATTCCTCTCTGGGAGCTGATGCCAGAACTGTCATAAACCCATTGTTTGCCGTTAGGAACAATACATCTAGGTCATTATGGGGAAGGCCACGGGGAGCACTAAATTTGTGTAAATAGAAGTAGAGTTGATTTAGGGCAACCACATGATGAATATATAAACGGGTTTGATGCTAACAATAGTGATGCTTTTCACATTCAGAGTAATGCCTCGCCTCCCGTATCTCACAACCAATTTGGAAATACATCACAGGGCTCGGTTCAAATAATGAAATTGAAATTGATTCTCCTCATTCTCCTGTTCTGGCAGATATCAAGAATCTTCCAAATGAAATTCTGGCGAAAATTAATGCAACAGCAATGTCGTCATCAGATTTTAATTGCCCCAGCCATGTTTGCCATACTTATAACCATAGAGCAAAGAAACAGAAGGAGTTGCAACGACCTGCACCCTTATCTAAAATCCAATTACACGCTAAGTAAACACGCCGTTTTTGCTATACTAAAGCACTACGATCGCCCGTGTGTTATCTACGATCTTATCTCTTTATAACTGGAGGTTCTTGCCGTGTCCCTCATCGGCGAGTCACTTGTTTTTGTGTATAAAGTAAGTAATTTTCAACAAACAAACTGACCTTAAATATAAAACGCATGCGCACTCATTTCTTTTTCTTTGAATCCAAGCGGTCTTGCGTAATTTATATAGATATTTTAATGCTGAAAATTTTACTTTTTAAACCAAGAAAATCGGCTTATTTGAACAGATTTTACACACAAATGTAAGTTTCAAGTATTTTACAGTATCACTAAAATGTGTTATTTTTATTCTTTTATAATGTAATGTTCCGTAAATCTCATAAAGTTGAAAATTAAGTTGTTGTGTTGAGAATTTATCGATGTTCATGTTTGTAGATGCGAGAGTCATGTGCAATATTGTGCATTGACGAAATTTAATTTTTAATGTGGAGGTTTTTCTGTGCCGATTTCACCGATTACAAAATACGGTCGGAAGTCTAGTCTAGGCCTAGTATGACTTTGGCCAATTTCCAACCATCGTACCCATTCAAACTTCTTATAAAAAAAAATAAATTAAGGATTAGGCCTATTATTAAATATTAGGCTATTAGCGTTAGCTTTTTGGTTAGGCTTGGCCTAGCCTAGGTGGCCTAGGAATATATTTGACGAGAAGGAAGGGCGGTTCGCACTAGGCCTACCTAGTACCGACAGTACCACCATACAGCAAGACCTATGCTACCATAGGTCCCTATCGTGGCTCAAATTAGTTTCAAAACTACTAGGCCTAGGCCCTATTAGGATAGGCTAGGCCTAGGGGCTAGGCCTATTTGATTTCTTAAGAGTAAATATTGCATTCATCATTTTTTTTTACTTGTAATTTGTGGTTAATTATTTTATTCTTGGTATACGTATTTCTTTTTAAGATAATTACTGTTCAGTTCTAATATTAAATCATTAATTCATAATAATTTTCTCTTTTTTTGTATCTTTTTTTTATTATTATTTTGAGCTTCCAATTCTCTGTTTTATAGTAATGGATGAAGGAAGCTGATTAATTGGCACTCACAATCAATTTAGTCTTTTGAAATTAGAATGAGAAAATGAACATCATAAAAATGAGGTTATTTTGATTTGACGTTGAGCAAAGAATGATTATATACTTTATTTCTTTTTAAAATGCACAGACCGAGATACGATGAGCAAGTTTTGTAGTTGTTTGCAAACTGTTTGCAGACTATGTGGATGTGCAAAAGCCATCAAAGAAGGTCGTCAACCATTGATGAAAAAGAACTTCTCAAGAATAATTATGGCTGCATTGGAAGTTGATGTCAGCAACGACGACGTAAATGTACACCCTCCATATATCTGCCAGTGTTGTGAACTGAAATTAAAACGATGGAAAACAAAGATGCAGAAGAACATGAAGGCTAACTGTAACATTACAGTCATGACATTTAATGCAAAAGAATGCATGTGCATAGAGGAACCACAACCAACTTTGAAATGCCATGAAGAAGCAGCAAAGAAGGCTGGACTTTTGTCCTGGCGTTCTGATGAATGCCTACAAATTTTAAGGCTGAACATATGTGGTAAAGTTGTAGTCACTCTTACAATTTTCCAGAATTTCACGTGGAAATTGATTGTTTCTGGTGTGGAATGTTCTCGGAAAACTTCAATACTTGAGCAGTATATGCATACACTATGTGTAGAAGATACGGAGAGACTTTGCCACCTGCTTGCATGGAAAAGTATATGTGTAGGGAATGAAGATTTCGGCGATCTTGTAAATTCAAAGAGAGGACCAGATGGTCAGATTCCATTAAAGATAACTTCTAACGACCGTTATTTTAGCGAATATGAGACCATCCGTCACAACAATTGTCATTTGTTGGTAGAAGGCGATCGCTGTCATGTATGCAGAATACACAGAACTGACTTGGCAGCTATGCGAAGTGCACTACATACAAAGAAGTGTGATGAGCAAGTTTCTCCATCATCTACAATTCCAAATAAGTTTTTGACAAGGCGCCAACTTGAAAATAAAGCGGTACATCTTCAAATGGATAGGCGTAGTTTGAAGAGACGAAATACATCATTGGAAGATAGAGTCAACAAAATGTACAATGCTGAAAGTGAAGTGGTTCCTCATCATCAATCGACTCAGCTCATGGAGGCATTTAATGCATGTACTGAACTGGACGATTTGCCAGATGATTCACCAGCAAAGTTGTTGTGGGAGCAACAAAAACTTTCAAATGAAAAAGGTAAACAAATGCGATGGCATCCAGCCATAATTCGATGGTGCATCGCTTTGCAAAACCGTTCTGCCTCAGCCTACAATCTTATGAGGGAAACTGGTTTTTTACGATTGCCGCACCCTAGAACCCTTCATCCATACAGTCATTTTGCAGATACCGCCTCCGGATTCTGTCCTGAAATGCTGCAACGGATTGTTTCAGATATAGGCCTTAATAAAGAAAACAGTGAATTGAAGAAAGACGTTTCTCTAATGTTTGATGAAATGAAGATCAAGTCTGGCTTAGGTTTTTCAAGCCGATCTGGTCAGATTGTGGGCTTCACTGATGTTGGAACTCTTGGTAATGAAATAAATACAAGGAGATGTAAAGGAGAAGAAGAGCCTCCAGTTGCAACACATGTTTTAGTGTTGATGTTGCGCGGCATCTTTTGCAAATTACATGCCCCAGTTGGATATTGTCCCACTAAAGGAGCCTCAAGTGATGAACTGTTTTCGTGCCTATGGGAAGCAGTAGAGTATGTAGAGACGGCGGGCTTCAGGGTTCGAGCATTTATCTCGGATGGTGCGTCGCCAAATAGAAAGTTTTATAGGCTACATTCTACTCCTGGATCAACGTCTATTACTTATGTCACTCACAATGAAATAGATCCAACAAGGAATATATATTTTATTTGCGATGTTTCACATTTGATGAAGACGACGCGAAACAACTTTGAGAACAGTAACTATCACTATAAGACACGGCACCTCCATGTAAGTTATCAAATTTTATTTCAATATGGTTACAAATAAACACTAAAACACGAAATTAAGCTAAATTGTACAGTACTGTACTCACCACATACATGGCATCAAACCAACGATGATTGGGGAAATGGAAATCATGTGATTATTAACTTTTTTCACAGTACAACAAAATGGATATCAAATGGACTTATCTGTTGGAACTGTATAATTGGGACACAGGATTAGACAGATATTCACCTGGACTTCGTCGCCTTCATAAGATCTCTTATGAGCATCTCCACCTGACCCCTTCTTTGAGAATGCGCGTGTACATGGCTGTGCAGGTATTTCTATGTTTGCACTGATGAAAATGTATTGTAGTATTATTTATTTATTTTGTAGATTTATTTGTCTTGTGTAGTTTCAGGCAGTTCATTTCTGTTTCTTTGCTGTATGATTCTGTGTATCATCACAATTTGTATACCACATTGTTTTGAATGGAATGAGACGCTGTGACCAGTTGTAAATGTCGATAAACAATGTTTCTTTGCTCTATGCTTATATTAAATGAATTAGTAGATAACCAAAATATATTTGGGACATCCAGTCTTTAAAAAGGAAGTTTTGTTAATATTTTGTAATTAAATTTAAGTCTACAAGAAATTCAAATGAATAATTTTTACAGATAGTAAGCACAACAATAGTAAACGTTAAAAAAAATAATTCTTGGAATATATTGTGATAAATAAAATTGACAAGAAAACTTTTCAACCAAATAATTTTTTATAGGTATTAAGCAGCACAGTAGCCAATGCTCTTGAGTGCCATGGACAATACTACACAGCTTCGACAGCAAAATTTATTAGGATGTTCGACACATTTTTCGACTGCTTGAATGTTTCCCGTCTACATCAGGATAGTCACAGTCTCAAACCAGCTTTAGCGCCGTATAGATCTAGTGATGACTGGCGTTTCAAGGTATACGTAGTTGCTTTACATTTAAAAAAGGCTTTCCGTAATCCAGTTACTGTCATCTGACTCTCAATATCTTACACTGGATCTCTTCATAAAGTAATTTGCTCTGTTTTACGCAGTAAGTTAAAGCAATTGTATGCTAACTAAATAATCTCTTAATTTGTGATTATTTCTAGTGGCTTAAGGAGGACTTTTTAGGATTCCTAGACGAGTGGGAGACTCAAGTCAATAACCTTGATAATGTGAGCAAGTCTGAGAAGCAGAAAATGCTGTTAAGCAGGGAGACCCAAGAAGGACTGAGAATAACAGGTTGGCAAAAAATAGTTTTTAAAAAAAATCTAGATTTCCAAGCCAACATAACATGTAGCTCGTTGAATGGCAGTAATGTTATCATTATTAAAAAATCATGATAAACACACCATATTTTAATAGTATTTCAGCATTTTATGTATGCTACAACAGCGCAGGAAGTTGTTTGCATTATTAAAGGTAGAGGTATGAGTTTGAGTGCTATACGGCTCAGGGTCTGACAGTTGATCTTTATGGTTTGACAAATATATAACACTCGATCTCAGCATCTATGTTCCCTACGACAACCATTGGAATGCCTATGATTGCTATTTTGGTTTATTACCCCTTAGAACTGCATCATATGCACATTTGTGTTACATTTATATAAAAATTAAATGAATTTTTTTTTACTGTTGTAGTCAATTCATTTGTGGACTTGGCTTCAGAACTGCTTTCTCGTCCTGATGTGGATTTTCTGTTGAGCGAGAAGTTTAATCAGGATCCGTTAGAGCAGTACTTCAGTAAACAACGTGGAGCTGGTGGGACATGTGACAACCCAACTGTTGCCCAGTTCGGCCAAAATATGCAAGCCTTATATGTTGCGTCTAGCTGTGCCAAAGCATCAAAGCGGGGAAACTGCAGAGGCCCTGATGAACGTAGTTGTATGTTAGATGACACACCTCTACCAAGGAGGAGATGAATTTATTCAGCATCACATTTATATAAATTTCTTAGCCAGGCACAAGATTTTGACTTTCCTTTTGTTTCTTTGTGGAAGGAAAATTGCCTACTATTAAATTTTAGATAGTAATTTATAATACTATAGTTATATTTCTGTAAATAGATTTTGTAAAAGTGTACATATTTATTAAATCTGGTCACCATTCCATCATGCATAATCCTGACTACCATTTTTGGCCGATAATTAAAACAGTATTCCTGTTGTATGTGTAATTGCCGAAAGGCCCACTGATTAGTCTCGGGTAAGATAGAATAGTATATACTCCAAGTATTGAAAGACACGCTTTCGTGAATTGATTCACTATTGCGGCATTAATTATGTCTGACATAATTGATGCCGAAATGTTGAATCCATTCACGATGGCGTGCATTTGAATACTTGGAGCATGTATTATACTATCTTATGTGTAATTGCCTTGAGAGTTTTATATTATTGTACATAAAATTAGTTAAATATCTATTTTATTAGTATTTTAAGAATAATGAGCCATTTCACATTTCCAACTATGTCAATTAACATACACCTACAGTATGTTGTATACGTGGTGTTTATGTCGATAGAGTTCTATGACCTTAATACGATCATGCGCAGTTAGAAAAGGCTTATTTAATGCTTGAATTGATGTGTCATTATATAGCTGCTCAACTATTGCTAAAATATTCCTTTTTTTATTCATAAAAGTTGAAAGCTGTCAGTTATAGAATTTTTATGATTACATTTGTTTTTGTTTAATAATTTAAGGATTACTTTGTTCGAATAAATGTTATTGTCACACCACATCCTTGATGACTATGAGAGGTTCTTGTCCTGGATGAAAACATTGTTGGCTATTTAGAGAACAACGGAGGGTTTATACAGTGCATTGTGAAATAACAAAACAATCTCTACAGAAAAGGAATAAAATAACTTGTTGGAAGTAAATTTATTTTTTGCACATTCATTGTATAACCATCATAGCATTTAATTATTTACATGACTAATTTAGTACATCGTTACAACTGTTTCTTTGCTCTATGTTTACAAGTCTTTTCGCAGTGCTTTTTCAGACTTTCTTGAAATCTCATTACTGTTTGCCTTCTTTAAGTCTAGATAAACCTTTAAAAACGCATGCATCCTGATTTTAATCCACAACCTAATTACTATATCGAGTAAATGTTTAGATGCATCACCAACAATTTTATTTCTTGTTAGGTTACACCAGTACTTGTGTACTGTTGGATTTTCTAGTACTGTGTTCATAATAATGTCCTTAACATTGGCATTTGGCATTGAATTCAATCTACTGATTGTCAGGTATTTTCTGTTTTCATTTTCTAAAGTTCTAAAAAATAAATAAACATCATCAGTAACATTAAATAATCCACCCCTACTTTGCTTAGCTATCCAAAGTTTTGAATAGTCCAAAAATGAGTGGGTCGTGTCAGAACCATTAACCTTCCATGCTGACAAGAACTTGCAATATGTTTTTGCAGTTGAATTGGAAAATCTTTTAAATTTCTTCAAGAGTGCATAGGGCACATAACCCGCTACATAACGAACAACTTGTTCTTCGTTTTGGTCCAGAGGTTTGGGTTCCTGCACCTTGGGCTTTGGCATGTCCTTGTCATGGCGATCTGTCAGAATTAAACTTAGCAGAGTTCTCATTACAAAGTGATTTAATGTCCCAACATGCTGGCCTTCTGTATCCAAGTCTAATGACTCCATCAATTTCTTCCATTTGACACCACCAGACAGTGTGTACTGGTGAAAAACACGACAGACCATTTCATTTGCCTCTGGTTTTATTTTTTTACTATCCCCAGCTGTCACAATGTCCCAAAAGTCTGTTACAATATCTAATGCAAAGTCTGTAAACTGTTTGGAATCTGCATGTTGGAGCAGCTTGGTGGCAAGATCTAAAACTTGTATTGATGTTTGTGTATGGTGCTGTATATACGGGATGCTCCTTTACCTTCCGTAATGCCGAAAGCAAATATACCTTTGGTTGACCGTTGCCGATTGCATCATCTTTTTTAAACTTAACAGTTGGTCTTTTAACCGCTGAAAACAAAGAATGTATTTTTAATTGTTTTAATAATTAAAAAAAAATGGGATGCACACTCTTACAGAATTCAGAAAAAATTTAATGAGCAACAGCTAAAACGTAAACAGTCAAAAATAGTACCATAGTTTTCGGACAACACTAGTTCTTCTTCAGTGGCAATATATATATATATACATATACACATTATACACACATACTTTATACATATTATATATATGTATACTGTATAGTCATGACAAAAAATGGTTTTAATGTATTGTCCACAAACTTACCTTTTTTACGTTTACTTTTGGCTGGTATGTCTTTGGCCTTATCCTTTTTGTATGTTGTACTTGAAATATCTGTACAAGAAAAAAGATGCAGAAAATAAAACAAAAATATTTTTTAATGATATTAATTCACCAACCACGAACTTATAATTGATAGATATAAATACAGTATTTTGAATTCGCTAGACCCACCAATTAGGGTTTACTTCTTCACTGACACTAGCCATAGAGCAAAGAATCTTTGCTCTATGCACTAGCCTAGCTAGCCTAGGCCTAGAGAAGCAACAGACACTCGTTTTCATTTCATCATTCATTCGTTCTGTTGCCTAAAGAATTATTTCGGATAATTAAAGTTGACAAGAAGCTTACACACCTTTCCCGATTTCTGGGTTACAACGACTACATATCCAATCTGCTTCAAGTACTTTCATCTCAATGCAATTACGATGAAACCACCGAATTTTGCAAGGCTTGCTGTTGCAGAGAATCATATCTGTAGTCCCCGGCTGCAAACAAACACAGTATTGCTGGCGTACATTTTCTAGACCTAGGCCTACATCGTCTTCTTCAAAATCGACTGGTGGTAGATCGTTTACATCAAATTCATCGTCGGAAAAATCACTAAAATCCTCATTATCCATAACTGATAAGTGATTATATCTATGGTAATTGTTACTAATTTAATTAATTTATCACCACGTCAAGCGTGAACCTTTGATCTAAGCTTGTTGCATCTCCTTCTGTTTCTTTGCTCTATGTTATAACCAACTTTATGATGTAAGCAAACGTTTCAGAGCACTTACACGGCGCTTCATATCGATGCTCCAACAAATTTATTTTTCGTCAGGAGAACCTGACATAATAAGTATAAAAACGTTTGGCTCAAGTAGTGGTTTAGTAATAGAAATTCGTATAATTATAGGACACACTCAGTGGGCTAATGCCTGGCTGCAACTGCAAAGTGAATCATATGGTTGGTTCACAATACTGAAAATATTCTGGGAAAAAAATATAAGACAAAATAACCTCTAATATCTAATATACTTTAACTATGTTTAGTAATTGTGTATTTAATAATAGTAGAACATCCCAGTATTAATAATTTTATACAATAACTTTTTTAGTAATACAAAATCTATTAGTATTAATATTTACATTTTCAAAATACATTTTTAAAATTGTGGTTTTACTTTGTCAATATATTCTGTCATATTTACATTCCTGCGTACAGTTTCCGTACTTGTTTTATAAAATATATTGTTCATAATTTTAAATGTTGAAGGTGAAATAGAGCCATGATTATATTATGATAACGAACAACTATGATATTCATTTTTAAAGTAATTTTTAGACCGAATTTGTACAGTACATACAAAGTAGGTTTAAATGTTATAGATTTATGAAAATATATATCTTTTATGTTTGACACTTGCAATAAAATAGTTTTTATAAATTATATTAAAGTATTCCTTTATTGTTTCAACAATAACCATTGTGCCAACATCTATAATAACGATGGCGACCACAATGGCATAGGCCTATCCATAAATTACTCGCGGGCTTTCTCTGTCCAGAATACGGGCTGGAATTTGGCGCTGTTGTCCAGAATACGGGCTTTCTTACGTCATATTCTATTTTTAGAGGCTTTCTCTGTCCTAGAATACAGGTTGTATGATGGCGCTGTTGTCCAAAATACGGGCTTTCTTACGTCATATTCTATTTTTAGATTTTGGAACATCAGTGGAATGTAAACAGTAAAATTATAAAAAATAGCAAGCAAGAGTAAATGGTAAATTTTACGATTTTCATGGATTTTCTAAGCTACAGTTGTAGGCCGACATTGCAGTGCGGCATATAGGAAACTCATGTTTGCCTGGCCTAGGGCCTAGGCCTAGCCCCTGCCGCCTAGGCCAGAGGCCTAGAGGCCTACGCCAGTGGCGGCGCCAGCGGGGGATGGGAAGGTGCAGGGGGAATTTGCTCTTCCCCCACCCCCGGTCGGACAGGCCTGGACCTCCTGTCGTCCTTCGGACGACTAGGTTGTCGGACAAAGGCCTTTTTCACTAATCGGTAGACATCTTGAAGTGATGACAAACATTGCGAATCAGCGGTGCGTAACCAACAGAAATAAGATAAGCTTTTCGGCTGATTTTCTGACATGTTATTAAAAAAATCATAACTCCATAACAGGGCGTCGTATCTAAAAATGTTTTCCAGCAAAATGTTCTTAAAATACTAGTCCACAGCACTATATGATTGAAAAAAAATTGAAATGTTTTTTGACCTCTGAAATCAAGATGGAAAAAGAAAAGCCTATCTAAGTAGTGTATTAAAATAGGCCTATGCATTACAGTGCAGTAGCATAGAACTTTCGTGTTGCTACTGTTCCAGGTATTGATAATATACAGATTTCTCTTATTATAAAGTACAATTTATATTTTATAAAGAAGTATAGTATAGTAAATCATGTTTTTAACACAGGAAACTCTCATATGGTAACTAAAACAATGCTAGTCCAGAGTATTACAAGAGTACTACTGCACTATATGTATAACACTCCGCCATTGGCGTAGGCCTAGGCCTCTGGCCTAAACGGCAGAGGCTATGCCTAGGCCCTAGGCCAGCCAAACATGAGTATGCCCCTTACGAAAATGACCAATTCATTCCAATTGGAAATTGAATTGGATTCAATATGAGTCAGTTGGATTGTAATTGGAATGAATTGGATCCAATTGGTTCCAATTAAGAAAAAAATATTCCAATTGGAATTTTGGAAAAAATCCTATTGAGATCAATTGGATAACAAATGTCCAATAGGATTTTTTTTTATAAATCCAATTGGAATGAATTGGATGACAAATGACCAATTAGAAATTGGAAAAATCCAATTGGACAATTAATCTCCAATTGATTTTTTTAAAATCCAATTTGATAACAAATACCAATTGAACTAAAAAAAACAAATCCAATTGGAACAGATTTCCAATTGGATTATAAATATCCAATTGGAATTTTTACTTATTCCAATTGGATAACAAATATTTATTTATTTATTTATTTATTTATTCTGGTTTATTCACATCGAAACATATTTCGTGGCAACACAAAGGCTGAATTGAGAAATATTAACAAAATTCGACAAAAACAATTATAAACTAATTAAAACGATTGGTTATAATAACCGCTGGAAATACGTGGACGATTTAACCTTATGTGAGGTATATAAGAAAAATGAAGCGCCTAGCCTACAAAATCAGTTAAATGAGCTCGCGCGTTGGTCATCTGAAAATAAAATGTCAATTCATCCAGAAAAAAGTAAATGTATGCATGTATCCTTCAATAAAACCGAACCTAATTTCCCAATCT